CGCGTATTACTTATAAAATCAAATTAAGAAAATGCTAGATTACCTTTCTGACGTTGAGCAGCCCTTTGAACCCAAACATTCTGAGTGGCTTGTGGTATAATAGCACTTCTAACTGGCACCTAACAGAAATTCGAGCATAAGAAAATGGAAGGAATCAAAACACAAATGAAAATACACCTCAATGACTCAAAAACATTGCTTAATAATACTGCAAATAACATTAGAACGCAATGATTAGGTCTTAAGACAACAAGAAACCTCAGATATAGAGTGGGAGGAAGAAATTACTCCACAGCTTGATTTTCTTGAAGACTTTGAAACAGAAGCTATATTTGTTCCAGAGTGACGAGGATGCGATGCATCATCTGTATGAGAGGATAATGCAGGCACTACTCCTCCAGCAACAGTAACTCGCTTAATTATCTCATTGACTGTTGCCTCGCTATCCAAAATTAGCCCGTTAATCATTTCAACCGCTTGCCTTAAACTGGCCCTTGTTTGAGAAAGCACAAAATATTGAACCAAAAAGTTTAAAATCAAAGTAAACCACGTGAGGTATCAGCGCGATAAAAAAACAGGAAGAACCTTATAGCATGTTCTGAGCCCTTTATAGTAATTTGACGGTCATGTTGCTCTTTCTTGCCATTCTGCTTTTCCACTTCTATGTAAGCTCCTGTAGCTTCCCTAATAGCATTGATATTTCCACCAGCTCTCCCAATCACACGTGCAATAAGGTTTGACGAAACAGCGAGCCGCGACGATCTCCGGCGAGCCTAAAACAACAATCAAATATTGTTATAATTGAAGCCTCTTTCAAAAAACTAATGAACAAACGAAGACAGCAGTCTGAAAAAGCCCACATGCAAGACATAAACCTGTAGCCTTTTACTCAGCAACTATTTGTCGATTACAAAGGTTTAGATAAAATAAGCCATCTCGAGCAGTTGTTTTTAAAATGAAAAAAACAATTCAAAAAAACCAAGAACTAACCGTGACAACATGGTGCCATGGCAAAGAGTTAGTTGGGTCCTCCTTTGATGGAATTACAGTACTGTACACTCGAGACTTTGCGCCCTACAAAATGATATTTTTCAGGCTGGGGAAGCGTTTTTCAGATAAAACATGATTAAATTATAAGATAATTAACTGCACCGAACCTGAACGTACGTTCTAGGGCATAACACTAGAAACTATTTGAAAATGGATACATCATTTAAAAAAACAAGCAACTGCACGTAAAGATAATAAACCTCAACAAATCAACGCACCTCCCTTAAATAAAATTAAAACTACAAAAGGTATCCACGCTTAATTCCTTCCCTGCCCCATCCCCTTTCTCCTCACTTCCACCTAACAAAAATCCGAGAGTGTCTTCCAGAACTACTTGTTACAACAGTGTCATATATATATATATA